CCCCGGGCCGAGCCCCGTGCACCCCGGCCCGCAGCCCCAGAAGGCTCGCTCCGCCCCGCAGGCCCCCCGTCCCGCCTCTCACAGCTCTCGGGCGGTTCCATCTGGGCGGCGGCAGCGCGGGCTACGCTCCTGACAGAAGCCGACAGAGTACCATCTCCTCACAGCCGTCACCCGCCCGGGCAGAGCAGCCCCCGAGTCTCCTCAGGGTGGAAGAGACCTACGCCGGGCGCTCCGAAACGCTGACTTCCGCTCCCAGACATCGCGGACCAATCAGAGCGCGCGCCCTTTCGCCACTTCCGATTCGAAGGCAAAGGAAACTTCGGGCGGAAGAGGCTCCCTGGGCGGACCGGAAAAGGCGGCCCCGGAGAGAGGTGCTGTCGGCTGAGCCTCGTGGAGGCGGAGGTGAGTCCGGGGTGCGCGGTGTCTCTGCTCCGGGGCTCGTGGTGAGGCCTAGTGGGGCAGCAGCAGACGGGACTCGAGGACGTCTGCAGCCCGTCCCTAACTAGGGAGAAGCGGGATGACTGGCCCCGGGCGTCCCCACAGCCGTGTTCCGGGGTCCGCGTGCGGCCCCGGGGGTTGGAGCGTGCGCGGTGGAGCCGCTGGTCCCGGCGGCGCGGGTGCTGGGTGGTGTCCGGGTGCCCCGCACGCTGAGACCCAGCTTGGACGCGGTGGTACTCTTACCGTAAAGTGGGGATAAGAATATTCACCTGCTTTATTCCCGTGGGGGGTGATGTCCGAGAGCGTGTGCTAACATCATCTCCAGTACCTTAGTCCAATTGGCCAAGCGTTACTGGTATTGTTTACTTATTTATACTAATGAGTTCAAGACTAGTACAGAGTTTTGAGCCTGAATAGTTAGGAAACTTGTGTGTCTTAGAATGGGGGGGGGGAGTGTGGTGTGGGGGAGTGAGACACGTTTAGGAAAACGATTTCCCAAACAGAGCTGAAAAGTGAACCTACAAGGTATTCAGTGGGTGTGTCCAATACGTATGTGGAACTCTAATTGGTAAGGGTTAAGACCAGAACTAGAGGTAACAGGAGCCCCGAGGCTCTGCTTCCGCCTACTCTGCGAGTTCTCCACTGAAAATTGTGTCCAAGAACATAGCGATGACAGTTACTAACATAATTAGAGGAGCATTGGGCAAGAATTAGTCACTTGGTCAGGGTTAATTGGCTTTGGATGACAAAACTGGCAAAATGTGGCTCCAGTGGTATAGCAGCAGCAGCCTGTCTTAACTCCACAATTACTTTTTAACCATTCCTATGTGGGCTCACTCCTTATCTCCAGAACTTTCAGATGCATCTCTTTATTACTGGGTTGTTAGACCAGTATTGTATATATGTGTGCAGGCGTGCATGTCTGCAGTGGTACTGGGGTTTGAACCTCAAGGCCTCCTATTCTTGCTTGACTTTTTGCTCAAGAATGGCCCTCTACCACTTGAGCCACACTTCCACTTCCAGCATTTTGCTGTTTAGTTGGAAATAAGAGTCTCATGAACTTTTTGATCCATCAGGTTTTGAGGCTCTGAATTCACACCCTGGTACTGATAACAACAAAACAGATTCAGTAAACTGGGTGCTGGTGGGTGGCTCATGCCTGTAATCATAACTATTCAGGAGGTGGGATCTGAGGATTGCTGTTTGACACTAGCTGGGGCTGCAAAGTCTGTGAGACTTATCTCCAATAAAACTCAGAAAAAGCTGGAAGTGGTACTGTGGCTCAAGTGGTAGAACTGGATCCTTGAACAAAAGCACCTGTCAGGTCAGGGACAGTGCCCAGGCCAGCCTCTCCCCCACCCCCCCCAAAAAATAGACTCAGTATAGTTAAACCCAATAAATATAAAAGCTGACAACGATAAAACTCTCCCAAGACTCCTGTGTTCTTTAGTTTTCTTACTGTACACTAGTTATAAAGGGGGGAATTTCATCGTTACCTTTCTTTCATGTGTTTACAATATATTCCAATTAGTTTCACTGCACTACTACTCTCCTGACTCCCTTCCTGAGACAGTTTCATAGCCTTAGTGAATGAGTCTGAGGTGCCAGGGAGATGGGGTGAGGTAGTCCCCTGCAGTGTTCTGTAAGTCCTGTAGCTGACTTGGATAGTCTGGAGTTTATTTTTATTTTTATTTTCTTTGGTCCAGTCGTGGGGCCTGAACTCTGGGCCTGGGTGCTGTCCCTCAGCTCTTCAGCTCAAGGCTAGCGCTCTACCACTTGAGTCACAGCGCCACTTCTGGCTTTTTTCATTTTGCTTATGTGGTGCTGAGGAATTGAACCCAGGGCCTCAGGCATGCAAGGCAAGCGTTCTACCACTGAGCCACACTCCCAGCCACTAGTCTGGAGTTTAAAAACACCTCTAACTAGAAGGCAAATGCCATAAGAGTTGGATTTTGTACCTATTTAGTAATGTGTATTCATAGTGCCTGTTTAATGTGTGGGCTCACGATAGATTCTTCTCAACGGTCAGTATGTCCAGTCCTAGGCTATCCATCTCAGTGTCAAAATTTGATGGCATCTAAATGGACAGAAGTGAATTATGTAGCTTCATGGAAGCATTTATAAAGTCAGCTATTCATGATGTCAGCATGACCTAAACAACCTAAAGCTTGACGAATGAGGGATTACATGTTAAGTCAACAGTGACTTTTAGAAATAGCCATATCCAGATACTTTTGTGAGTGATCTATTCAGAGTAAACTAAAGGTTAAGAAGCCACAAATTAAATACTTTTAACTACCGATAAGATAGTTGGAGTTTATTAGCCTGTGGAAACAAAGGTACCTCAAGAACTGATTTTCTTCATTTATATCCACAGATTGCCTCATCTGTGGTATCAGACGTCATAGCATGGGGCTCACCAAGCAGTACCTGCGTTATGTGCCAAGTGCAGTCTTTGGCCTTATTGGCAGTCAAAAGGGTAACATTGTTTTTGTGACACTTCGTGGAGAGAAGGGACGCTATGTGGCAGTGCCAGCCTGTGAACATGTTTTCATCTGGGACTTAAGGAAAGGCGAGAAGGTCAGTCAGAAGTCAGTTAGGTTGGTATTAATTTATGTAAAGGCAAAATGGGAGAAATTTGACTTACTGTGCATGAATCTAGGGGGCCAAGGGTCCAATTCTGTTGTATTCACCACCACATTCTGAAAATCACAGCCAAAAAGGAGTTTACTTCTGAGGTGTTTTGGGTTTTTTTTGGAGGGGGGTGAGTAGTGATTTCCGTAGTTCACTCACGGTTTATCATCCTATTGATTCTTTACATGTTTGTTTTTCTGTACCAATTCTGTTTTTTAAGTTCTTCAACTTGTCATAGCCAGTTTTTTTTTTTTTATTTAATCAAGACATTTAAAGGGAGTATTGCTGTAATAGGCAGAGCAGTATTCGTCTACAGGTGAAGCCCAGAGGCTGTAAAACTAGGCTTTTAGGTTTAGCACTTCTGTGGGAAAATCCAGGCATTTTAAACTTATGTATTCACTATGTAACTCCAAAAGGGTTATTATCTTGATGCCTGTCACCTTTAGTCTCTCGGATAAAACCACTATAATATTCTAATACTCTGGTATTGTGCAAATTTCTTCTTAATAATGGGGGTTGGTTAAAAGAAGGAGAGGTTTATAAGCCCTTTACTGAAAATCACTTGATGTAAGCCCAAATTAAAGACCTACTAATTTATTTCATGGCCTGGGTAATTTTTGCATTTATTATTCCAGTGTTGAGCTCCAGAGGAAATACTGCTACCATTTCCTGAGCATTTCATTGCCTAGTGCAAACGTGAGATGGCATAGAGAGTGCAATTATTCGCGAGTGATTTGGAATTAGTCATGTTCTCAGTTTTATAAAGTGTTCCTAATTCTTCCACTCCACACTTTTCCCTTGATAACGTGTAACTTCTCCACATTGTTTCTGAACTTACAGATCCTCATCCTTCAGGGACTTAAACAGGAAGTCACTTGCTTGTGCCCTTCCCCAGATGGGCTGCATTTAGCTGTGGGCTACGAGGATGGCTCCATCCGAATCTTTAGTCTCCTCAGCGGGGAAGGGAACGTGACCTTCAATGGACACAGAGCCGCTGTCACTACTCTGAAGTATGATCAGCTAGGAGGGAGACTGGCTTCTGGGTCCAAGGTGAGACTTAAGAACAGGGGCCTTGATTTGGATGCATTGAAAGAATGTAAGGCTTATGCTCACACTGGTTCACATAGTGTTGGGTGAAACTTGGGACTCTCCTGATTCAAAATAGGATATAGTATGTGAATGGTAGAAAAAGAGTCAGGAGGATGGTGTGAAAATAACCCAGGTCTGTGAGTGCTAGATACTTCTGTACCCGCACAGGTGTGACTAGAACAATGTAGAACAAAGTATCTTGTGAATGGTGGGATTCATTTTGATGTTCTGTAAGCTTTGCAAGTTTTCTAGGACTTTGTATTGCCCTTGTAATTACTAAATTCTGCTTGGTACCTGTGGCTTCCACCTATAATTGGGAGGCTTAAGATTAGGATGTCTGCAGTTCAAAGACAGCCCATGCAGAAAAGTGTATGAGATTCCTTCCCAACCAGTAGCTGGGTGCAGTGGCACGTGCCTGTCATCCTAGCTGTGTAGCAGGCTGGGATTAGGAGGCTCACTGTTCTGGGCCAGCCAGGGTTGCCAAGTCTGTAACATTCCATCTCTGTGTAAGAGGCTGGGTACAGTGGCACATACCTATCATCCCTTTTACAGTGGGGAGCCTAAAATAGGAGGATCGCAGTCTGGGCATGCACTTGGTCCAGAAGCAAAGTGTGCAAAAGGGCTGAAGGTGTGACTGGTGGAACATTTGCCTTTCATGTGAACAGCTCCAAGTTCAAACCTCTATATCACTAAAGAAAAGAATGAGGATTTTGTGGTAAAGAAAATCTATTCTCTGCATCATTTCTTTCCCTTAGGATACAGATGTTATTGTGTGGGATGTGATCAATGAGAGTGGCCTGTACCGCCTAAAGGGACACAAGGATGCCGTCACACAAGCTCTGTTCCTACGAGAAAAGAATCTGCTAGTTACCAGGTAAAGAAGCAATGGGTTCATTTCTGGTTTGCTTCTCGGTAAATTCTCTAGCATTCTGAAGAGGAACTCGCTTCATTGTTTAATGAAGTTCTCACTATGCCCAGGCCCACACGCCGGCCTTCTCTCCTCTTTTCTGTCCTGCTTATATAGTATCATAGAGTTATCCAGAGTTGCACCATCTAGTTTTCCTTTGATCATTTGTCGTTCTTAATTTTGATAGTCACTTTTCATGTTCCTTCACCTTTTACCATACTTGTTAGAAATGAGAGTTGTCTGTCTTCTGGATCCCTTCACTGTTGGGAAGACTAGCTGTTCAATACAGGTGTTTAGCCTGTCTTTTGAGGGGAGATGTCCTTCATAGGCCTTCTGAATAGAAGGAAGAAAAGGAAGGAAGGAAGGAAGGAGACATACATACATCATAGGGTTCACCAAGGAAGGAAGGAAGGAAACATAGGGTTTACCCAAATACAGCAATTGAAGTTCTAAGAAGGCTGAAACCCTCAGGAACCACTGCGATGATTCGGGAATGTTAGGAAAACTGTTCCAGATATGAGTTTGTTCCTGTGGGGTAGAATGCAGGTAACTAGTGTGTCCTCTGCATATAACATGTTCTGTGAGAAAATGACTCTAAAGTTCTGTTAATGTCATAGGTTGGGAAATATAGTGGGAAAAATAACATTGTGAGGTAGGCCCAATAGGATGGATTTTGTGTGTGTATGTGTACACGTGTGTGCTTGCCTGTGCATGCGTACTGGCACTGTGACTTGAACTTAGGGCCTTGAACTCTCACTTGGCTTTTCCATTTGAGGCTGGCACTCTTCCACTTAAGCTAAACCTCCATTCCCTGCTTTTTGGTAGTTTAAGTAAGACTCATATTTGTCTGGCTGGCTTCAAACTTGAAATTCTCAGAACTGTACCTCCTGAGTAGCTAGGATTATAAGCATGAGCCAGTGGCAGCTGGCTATGGGATGGATTTTTGTATGCTACGTTTTTTTCCCCCAGCTTGCTCATGAGGGAGATTTTATTAGCTGTCATGTTAGTGAAGAGGTAGAGCAATGAGACTTGGTAGGGAGGGACTGTATTGGAACCAGTTCATGGGAGGTTTTAAGAGCTTAGTTTTGATTCTTTAGAGAACATTGAGCTTATGAATTTTAGAAGTAGACATTCTCTGATTTGTATTGAATGGAGTGAAGGACCAGCAATGGACAGAAACCAGATGAGAAATGCTTAAGATAAGCCAGGACCTAGGCCTGAAGCTCAGGCTCTCATACAGAAATCTGGAAGGAGTCCAGATTTTAGAGACCACAGAAGAGGCATTTTCAAAAGTCAGGCTTCATTAGGCATGCGAACGTGGAGGTCTCAGGTGCTTGCATGGTAGGCAGGCTGAGAGAATGTCAGTGGCATGGTGATGGACCGTTGGGGGAGACATGATGGATCACATTCTGTGTTCTTTAGTACTTGGAGTACGGCATCTTCTTTGTGTCTATATGGATACATCTGACCTCTTGCATAAGAACAATCGTGTGGACCTAGCTACTTAGGGGGCTGAGATCTGAGGATCTCAGTTCGAAGCCAGTGTGGGCAAAAAAGTCCCCATAAGACTTGTATCTCCAATTAGCCACTCAAAAATGGGAAGTGGTGCTACGGCTTAAGTGGTAGACCACTAGCTTTGAGCATAAGAGTTCAGGGACAGTGCCCAGGCCCTGAGATCAAGCCCCACAACCAACCACACACACACACACAAAAAGGAATAATGTGGAAAGTTAATATCCATTGTTTCTCCTAAGAAAGGTCAGGTAGAATTGGAGCTTTAGATATTGCTGTACACTATCTTTTTACAGCTGTGAATGAGCCCTTGATTTCCCTGTGAGTTTAATGACTTGACCTAATACAATTTTTCCTCCTTGCCTTTTCTTTTTAGTGGGAAAGATACCATGGTGAAATGGTGGGACCTTGATAACCAGCACTGCTTCAAAACAATGGTTGGCCACCGAACTGAGGTACGGGTTAAGGTCATGAGCCTGGGAAAAGAACGGCAAGGCAACAAGGAAAAGATGTTTTTCTTCCTTGGCCTTTTCTTGACTTTTTGTCTGTACTGCTAATAGTAATCATTATTTACTGTCTTGAGAGGTAGTGAGATTGGTTTTGTCTTAAGCAGTGCCAACCATTAGAGCTAGCCCTCTGGCATTTAAGAGAACTTAGCATGGCGGCAGCATTACTCATCCATAATCCCAGCACTGGAGTGATGAAGGTGGAGGATCTTGAGTTCAGGGCTATTCTGCACTATGTAGCGAAACTCTTGAAATGAAGAAAGGAAAAATAGCCTTCGATAGTTATGAATCTGTGAGCTCCCTCATCTTAAAGTGTCCACCACTCATTGTAGAAATACTTAATAATACTGTGCACTGAGTCTGTCCAGTGATGTGGAAGTGGCAAGTTGTGGTTCTGCAGGTTACTTGTATGTAGATTATTCAGTCAAGTTCAGAGAATATTTTATGTACCTTGCATATTCTGTGGTGCTTTTTTTTTAAATCACACTTTGAAAACTATACCTGTCATCAGTGAGGAGGAAGGGTGTGCATTGACTTTTGGTTTGCAATGATATTGTTACTTTTGCTATTTACTTTGTGGTTCTAGAAGCTGCAATTTTACATAGACCTTCCTGGGGTACTTTTTATTTGCTAGACACTGGCTGTAGTTAGGGTTTATGGAGAACAACTATTATCTAAATTGTACAACAAAAGGTTAGAAATTCCTAGCATCACATAAGCCACAATTCTACTCATATGCCAAAGAAATTTCACTAAAGTATACTTGACCCTTTTGGACTGTTGCATTGTGCTACTTGAAATCCCGTTAAATACCATGTTATGTGAATCTTTGTATACCATAGGTGTGGGGATTGGTTCTGGTATCGGAAGAAAAGCGGCTAATCACTGGCGCTGCAGACAGTGAGCTGAGAGCTTGGGACTTAGCCTATCTGCAGGAGGTAATTATTGTTTCCCAGGTTGTGGGTCAATATCATAGACTCCTTAAATATAAAATCAGATGTAATTACTGAGTACTTTTACATACATGTAGAAGATTTTCCTTGCTCATTGTCCTTGTATATTTGAGCTGAGAAGAGTAAATTTTAGTTTACAACTTCTGGTAGTGCTGATATTTAGCTTATTGCATTAGTAGCTTGGTAACCTTAGGCCTTTGAATATCATGGGTGGACTTCACAGTATAACATTCTATTTATTTGTTTATAAATATATGTATTTTGGGAAGACTTATACCTGCTTCTCAAAGAATTTGTGTGGGAGAAAAATTATGGACCATGGGCTGGAGTTAGAGATACAACATTGTATCTAGTAGTTACTTAAGATGGGTTCCCTAGATAAGGATTGATCTTTGCTGTATTTAAGGAGAAGATGAAATATGTCTTGTAGTGCCTATGAGAATCTTTGTCTCCAGAATATGGTAGAGTTTTCATTAAAAAAAAACAAAACAAAAGCCAGGCACTGTTTGCTCATGCCTATAAATCCTAGCTACTCAGGAGACTGAGCTCTGTGGATCGTGGTTTGAAGCCAGCTGGGGGAAGAACGTCTGGGAGACTCTTATAATTGCCAGAAAACAGAAGTGGAGCTGTGGCTCAAAATGGTAGAGTGCTAGCCTTGACCAAAAAAGCTTAGGGACAGTGCCCAGGCCCTAAGTATAAGGCCCCCCCCTCCGCTCCCAAGAAAAAACCCAGAATATTAAAGTTAATGAAGAGTGGGTCTTTATTTTACACTATTGTTTTATTCAGTAGCCCTTTTTGTGTGTGTTTTCACTGGTACCAGGACTTGAACTCAGGGCCAGACTTCTGATTTCCCATAGTTCTTTCACTCAAGGCTGGCACCCTACTTCTGGAGCCACTCTTCAACTTCCAACAAGTAGTCTTTGTATTATAGGAAGTTATTAGAAACAATATATAATGAATGTTTTATTGTATATGACCAAGTCTATTTTTAGTAAATTTTGGTACTCTTATAGAAATTTGGTCAAGACCACTGAGCCTGTAATCCTAGCTACTCAGGAAGATTGTGGTTTGAAGTCAGCCTGAGAAACTTTTTTATTTTTTTGTTGGTCCTGGGGCTTGAATTCAGGGCTTGAGCTCTGTCCCTGAGCCTTTCTGTGCACAAGGCTAGCGCTCTACCACTTAAACCACAGTTCCGCTTCTTACTTTTTCTGAGTAGTTTATTAGAGATAAGAGCCTCATGGACTTTCCTGCTGTCTTTGAACCGCGATCCTCAGATCTCAGCTTCCTGAGTAGCTAGAATTACAGGTATGATCTACCCGTGCCCAGCTCTAGACTCTTATTTCTAGTTAAACAGTAAAAGGCCAGAAGTGGTGTTATGCCTCAAGGGACAGAGCACTGTCCTTGAATGAAAAAGTTAAAGGACAATGTCCACACCCTGATTTAAGCATCCTAGTAATGGCAAAAACCAAAAGAATAACCAATAAACCACCACTGGTCACACTATTAGTGACCCTTGGAAAGGTTTTTGAGTTATGAGGGTTCAAAGTCACCTCCTGGAATGCAGTCTAGTTTTCTTTCCCATTTTTTAATAAAGCAGATTGAGGACCCAGAAGAGCCTAATCCCAAGAAAATCAGAGAATCTTCTCCGGGAAAGCAAGAGAGACTTGAAGCCAAGGATGGAGACTCCGAGATGGATGGAGAGCCCGAGACAGATGAAACTCCAGAGGATGTAAATCAGTTTTGTTCTTCATTGTGTAGCAGGAAAAGCAAGAGCTGCAGTTGCTTGCATCTGCCATCCTTGTTACCCTTTTAGGGAGTACTTGTTGTGGGTTAAATTTGTAGAAACGTATCTTTTCAGAGATGTAGTAGCACAATTTCCTGTTCACTTGCGTTCTCTGCAGCGTATTCTTTCATGCAAGAAAGCTGGCTCCATTATGCGGCAAGGAAGGGACAGAGTTGTCAGCCTTGCAGTCGACAAGACCGGTAGGATTCTTGCTTGCCATGTGAGTATGGGCTGAGGAGGAAATAACAAGACTGAGTTGTTCTTTCATAGCATAGAGATGGAGTTTTCTTTTCGTAATCTTAATATTGTGATACAATCGATCTGTAATCCTGAGATTTTATTAACAAAGCATTGAAAGTTGTTACTTTTAATATTCTTACTAGCAAGCATTTATGAAACACTGGCTTGTCCTGCCATGTGAAAGCACACACATCTGTTTTAGTCTTCAAAGCAATGCTGTAAAGTGATGTTCTCACTTTAGAGGTGAGACAAACCCAGTTCTCTGAGTTTGTAGTAGTAGAGCTAGCAGAAAAATCAGTGCTGCTGTTCATTGCTCACTGAACATAGTAAGCTAGGTTATACCAGCTTTTTGCCTTCTAGGGAACCGACTCTGTGCTAGAAGTGTTCTGTGTACTTTCCAAAGAAGAAGTTCAGAAGAAAATGGACAAGAAGCTGAAGAAAGCTAAGAAGAAAGCAAAGTATGTCGAATTAGTATTTATTAATAATGAAATATCCTGAGGATACCACATATTAATGAGAAAAATGGTTTGCTTTGAATGTTTATTGTCCAAAGCTAGAGAAGAATTAAGACCTAACCAAGTTTTATTTATTTGTCCATTCAAGCAGTATCAGGATTTGAACTCAAGTCTTTGCTTGCTAAACAAGTACTCTACTCCCTGAGCCACAGCTCCAGCCCCAAATTTTGAACTTGAATTCTGAGAGCCGTTCCACCTTCAGAAGTTAGCAATGTGCTTTTAATGGTAGCAGCCTGTAAGGAATGGAGCTGGTAATATAGTGGTAACCTGCAAAGACGATTGGACATGTATATAACTGAGATTGGGGGACAATATTACTCTGAAATAAGTCATGTAACTATAGAAAATCATTCTATAATCGTTGGAATTTATCTGAAATAGGTAATCTGGCATGCACTAGTGGCTAATGCCTGTATTCCTAGCTGCTTAGCAAGCTGAGATCTGAGGATCGAGGTTCAAAGTTAGCCCAGGCAGACAAATCTGAGGATTCTCTAGTTAACCAGAAAAAAAGGCCAGAAGTGGGGGTTTGACCCAAGTGGTAGAGCATCAGCCTTGAAGAGTAAAGCTAAGCCAAGAGTATAAGGTCCTGAGTTCAAGCCCCAGCCAGTACCAGCACAAAACAAAATAAAAAAAACCCTCCAGTGATCTGGCTCAGTGTAACTTGTGATTGTATTTGTTTTGTATCTGTTATTTAAGGGGATTTTACTTTAGCATATGCATTTATGCATATGCATATGCATCTTGGTCCGAGTCATCTGTCATTCTCCCTCCTCCTGCCTCCCTGCTTTCCATTTTTAAGCCAGTCACTTTGAGTTCACTTGTTCCTTTAATATGTTTGCATAGATTGCTCTAATTATATTTACCCTTCTTCCTCCTCTCTGTCCACATACTGGTATCCACACCCCAGTTCAGACATGTTTCAACCTTTTTGTTAAACATTAGCATAGTGTTTCAGACTTAGTACATTTGACATGGTTGGATTGTTAAGTTCAGATTAGTAAGGTGGGTTTTAAAAAATCCTGAAGTTAAAAACATTTATCAGAAATGTTTGTGAATAATTTGTATTATAGTAACATTTAGGGAAATGTAAGGGGATGTTGAGTTCAAAATCCATGGGTTGCTGTGCCACTGTGGGGAGTGCTGATCTACTTTGATTAATTCTCAGATGAGGCTGTGTGGTTCAATTACCTCCCCCAAGTCACTCAGCTTGCTTGTCCTGGGGCCAGAGTTTGCACTCAAGGAAGTTACATAAAGCTACCTCTAGAAAAATGATAGCTTGGGGCTGGGAAGGTGGCTCAGTGGTAGAGCGCTTGCGTTGCATGCATGAGGCCCTGGGTTCGATTCCTCAGCACCACATAAGCAAAAAGAAAAAAGCCGAAGTGGCACTGTGGCTCAAGTGGTAGAGCACTAGCCTTGAGCTGAAGAGCTGAGGGACAGTGCAGACCCAGAGTTCAGGCCCCATGACCGGACCCAAAAAAAAAAAAAAGAAAGAAAAATGATAGCTTGATAGTATTTTTTTCTTCTGCATAGATTAAATTCTTCCCAAGGGGAGGAAGAGGAAGAGGACCTTGAAGTCAATGTTGAAATGACTCTTCAAGATGAAATCCAGCGCGTGACTAATATCAAAGCTTCTTCCAAAATCAAGTGAGTGAAAATAGAGTGTCTGTAGTCATTATAGATTACTAAGCTATGGCTGGGCATAGTAAAAACAGACCTAGAATCCCAGCTACTTGGAGGATCAGAAGGCGCCAGCCTGGGCAAAAATATTAGTGAAATCCTGTCTCAAAAAAATTATCTGTGGTCCCTGCTAGATGTAGGTAGAAGAATCACAGTCAGGTAAACAGGGCAAAATTGATCCTATCTGAAAAATAAAAACTAAAGCTGAGACCTAAAGGCATAGGTCAATTAGTATAAATGCCAAGCATGCATAAGGCTCTGCATTCAAACCCTAGGACTGAGCTAGGCACCTGTTCCTCACACCTGTAATCCTAGCTACTCAGGAGGATTGTGGTTAAAGCCACCCCAGCAAAAATGTTCCTATGAGACTTATGTGCAAGTAATTACTCAGAAACTGGAAGTGGAGCTTTGGCCCAAAGTGGTAGGGTGCTAGCCTTGAGCAGAAGAGCTCAGGGGACACTGCCTAGGTCCTGAGTTTAAGCCTCATAACCAACCAAAAAAAAATTTCTCCAAGTGGAAATGTGACTCAAATGATATAGCTGACTGAGAATGCAAGGTTTTGAGTTCCTTGCATGAGCAAAATAACAAAACAACTTCCCCTAGTATGGCCAAAATAAATAGGCAAACATATAATAAAGTATTGCCTTTGCCATTCTGTTTGCAAACCATGTGTATGGATCGTGTGGCAGCTGAGACATGGGGCTGCCTCCTGTGCCCGCTGCCCCCACTTGCGCCTCCTACTCACGTTTGTGTTATTGTAATAACGTTTTGTTATCCTTGAGCTGTTTTTGTTGCCAGCTTTAAAAAGTGTGCTCTATGTTCACAAAGGCTTTAAAATAATTTTTAAAAATACACAAAACGAAGGTGTGTATGCGAACCAAGGTGAGCCCCAGGTATTTTGATTTAAGTGCTATACTTGGCTACTGCTCAGTACTCAGTTCTCGTGTTTCTGAATCCTTTACACTTCTTCTGGCTTTCTGTAGATTGAGGATGTTGTGAAGGCTTTCCCCTAGAACAAATGGACTGTGGGTGCAAGGCTTGTGGGTGCTTGGAGCGTTCCTGACGATGTTTCCATTGCAGGTCCTTCGACTTCATTCACTCTCCTCAAGGAGAGTTAAAGGTGGTCTTCCTGCTCCAGAACAACCTGGTTGAGCTGTATACCCTGAACACATCCCTGGCGGCCCCTCAGCCTTCCAGGACCAGCAGGGTGTTCGTCGGGGGCCACCGCAGCGACGTGCGCACTCTGTCGTTCAGCTCTGATAACATCGCTGTGCTGTCTGCGGCAGCCGAGTCTGTTAAGATCTGGAACAGGTTTGCTCTCTCCCCCAGAGGTTTGTCTGGTGGAATTTCCTTCCCTTTGGATTATTTTTTGGCATCCTCAAGGCCATAAATACAATTCTCAGAATATGTGTTGGGTGCATTTTGTCCATTGACCTGTAGAGCTTAGAAAAGAAAAGACTGCCTTTTATATATTGTTGTTTAAAAAAAAAAAAAAGCTATTTCCTAATCCGAGTTGTAACTGTCCTTGGTTGGAAGACAACTATACTGGCCACTTTTTAATAGGTGGTCTCTTAAGTGCCATTGAAAAATGTTACTGTAACTTCTCCCCAGTCTCACACATCTTCCCTGAGATCTCAGAAACTTCCAACGTCTCTCAGCAGATGACCTCCTTTCTGGCTTAATGAAAGGTGGGAACATCTGAATCATTTTACATGCCTTTGTTTTTATCTGCTAGGTTATCTTTCTCTAACCGTGTTCCTGTCTTTCCTTCCTATGCTCTTACAATCAAAGCTGACTGCACCTCATATCCCAGTCCCTTCTCTCCCTTTTTAGCCATTTTCTTCCTGTGAACCATTTGCATGCAAAAAACGTTCTAATATTTCCCTCTTAGAAGAAACAGACTCTTCTCCAGACACTGGTGGCTCTGGCCTGTAATCCTAGCTGCTTAGGAGGCTGAGATAGAGGATTATGGTTTGAAGCTAGCTGGGTCAGGAAAGTTCCTGAGACACTTTGCTCTAATAAACTGCCAATCAGCCAGAAATAGAGCTGTGGCTCAAGTGATAGACTGCTAGTCTTAAGCAAAAGAAGCTCAGGGACAGTGCCCAGGCTCTGAGTTAAAGTCCCAGGACCAGTAAAGAAAAAGCAGCCAGAAGTGGAGATGTGGCTCAAGTGGTAGAGTGCCATTCTTGAGCAGGAAAGTAGAGTCTTTCCTGAATCCTTGTCTTTAGTGACCCAAGTTACTAAAGTATTTCAGGGCAAATCCTTGCATCTTTTTTTGTGAACTTTCTTTACATGTTCTCTGGAAATGAATTTTCTATATCTCATGACTCAGAATATCTAGCATTAACCTCCCCTGAAGATCACACTTGCCTACCGCAGTACTTTGTGTCACCATTCAGATATCTAACTAGGCATCTAAAATTTTATAGATCTCAAACCAATTTCATGGTCTTTATTTCTCCAAAAATTTTCACCTACTCTCTCTACAAACATTAGTATAAATAGTTGTATCCACTCAAATTTCTGGCCTCTGCCTTTGTAGTCATTCTATCTCTTGTCCCAAGGCCATCCAATCTGTTACCAGATTATCAGCTTTGCTTGCAAACTTTATCCTGAATCCAACCACATTCATCACTTGAGCTGTCATCATTTAATCTAAGCCACCCTCATCTCATCCAGGTTATTCTTAGAGTTCCTGCTTGGTCTGCAGTGTTTTGCTTGTCCTTCTGTAGGCTCTTCTGAGGGAGAATGCAGAGCACCAAGTTCAAGTCCCAGCATGCCAAAAATAAATAAATCCTATATGACTTACCTGTTAATATGTTCCTCAGTTTCTCTGTAGAGTAACATTGGTCTGCTTGATAATTCTAAAACATATCTGAAGTGTGCCTGCCTCTGCCTCACCATTCTTCTTTGTGCCCGGCACTCTCCTTCCCCGTTTGTCTACAGGCTTTCTTCTTGTCTTCTGAAGCAGCACTCCTTTCCTTTCCCTAGCCCTGTATTTATCCCCTTTACCCAGCATTCTGTTCCTCATAGCACCTACTGTCATCTGATACTTGTATTTACATATTTATTCTTGCCAGCGAATGCTAAGTCTTCCGAGGTTAGGGACCGATGCTACGTTATCCACTGGAAGCACCTAGAATTGTACTTGGCATTTACTGGGCATTTAGTAAATATTTGAGTATTGTGAAACACTGGATATATATGATATTTAATGGAAAGACACATCCTGACAAATGCACAGTTAGGCTGATCCTTCTGGAGTGAAGTGTGGGTCAGCCTGCATGTTGACCTTCAAGGTGGGAAAGCAAGGTCCCCTTTACACACAAGCAGCGGATTCTTTCTCTCTTGTAGGTCTACACTGCAGTGCATTCGCACAATGACCTGCGAATATGCTCTTTGCTCCTTCTTTGTTCCCGGTGATAGGCAGGTGGTCATAGGGACCAAGGTAAGACCAAGGTGTCTCTTGGATTTGGGTGGAGGTAGGGGTAGGTTCTACTCTGATCTTAAAGTGTTGGTAAAACCTAGCTCTTTTTTAAAAGCTTTATTTTCTTTCCTTGTTTTTAAAAAAAATCATCAAAACCATATATTAGATTATGAAGAAAAACATTACTTATTTTCCTGGGTGAACTCCCTTGAGAATTTTGATGATGTATTCTTTCATTTACTTATGAACACATAAAATTGTTTTAATTGATGTTAAACCACATTAAGTGATGAGTATCTGTTAAGTATCTGATAAGTATAAGTATCTGTTAAGTAATCAGATAAACAAGCAAGTCCTCATTCCTAGATGCTCATCAAGCAGGGGGCTGCTGCGTGTACCTCAATAGACATGGGTTTGGGTTCAGGTTCTATAAATTGTAGCAAGTTGCATAAATCCTGTTAGTGTTCCTTCATCTGGGTGACAGGGTGTGACAGTGACCCACATTTGAACACTGGTTGTGGTGGCACTTACTAGCTATGCAACCTTTGGGTGTGTTACTTGAACTCTGTTCACCTTGGTGATTTTGCAGGTAGGATGTTAGCACACTTCAGAGCTAAAGAAATGCTGTCGGTAGCACAGAGATTGGGCCCCAGCAAAGAACTGACAGATAGTTGAGATGCTAAGACAGCAGACAGGGCAGTGGTAGTAGCTGATGAAGAATAAAAAAAAATGGAATAGGGTCTCTGGTATTTGTTATTTTTTGTCTTTCTGGTTTTGTTTTGTTTTGAGATAATGGTCTTAATGTAGCCGAGGCTCCAACTTGCAGTTGATCTCACTTTCTAGCTGCTCAGTTACGAAATGTTTTCTGAAGTCTATGGACTTGAATCGTGGAAGTTGCATGTGCACTAATTAGGGCTGTGTTTGTTTTGTGTCTTCTTAGACAGGGAAGCTGCAGCTTTATGACTTGGCCTCAGGAGATCTGCTGGAGACCATAGATGCCCACCATGGGGCTTTGTGGGCCATGTCCCTCTCTCCAGATCAGGTAACACAACCCAGTCTTACAGCTCTAGACTTCAGCACCAACTGTCATATCAGGTTTAATTTTTGCATAAGGAAGATTTCTGTAAAGAAAGCTTTTTTTTTTTTTTTTTTTTTTTGCGTGAGTCTAGTCTTTAAATGTCATATATGGTGCCATCCCTCATAAGTAACTGTCAAAAAATTCTGGTTCAGCTAATCTCACTCAATGCCAATGTAGTAACAGATTACATGGCCCCCACAGTTGTATGTTTTTACCAGTGGCTTGTGGTACTTCTCAAAGAAAAATGTTTTCCTGAGCAATGCTGTAGAGAGTAGATTCTTACTCTCCTTCAACATGTCACCTGTCTTGATCTTGAAAAATCATCTGAGACATTTTAAGGAAGGAATACATTGCAGGAATGCATTACTCCCTTAGTCAAGCTTAATTAGATCATCCATTCAGTGTATGTTTATAAACTAGTTTCACTGCTTATAGCAAATCCATTCCCTGTTAGGAAGCAGAAAACCCAGTAGTGTTCACTAAGGATTTTCTTTCCTGATTGTAATAAAAGTATCCCTGACCTTTTCCCTAGAAAAGGTCATCTCTGTGTTAGTCTGTACTAAAAATTCTCAAATGAAATTTGTAGCATCAGAAGAACACAGGAGGGGTTTGAGGAGTCCCATTTTCCTATTCAAAAAAAATTTTTTTGTTCTTAGTTTCTAAGGTAGTTTTTCATTAAAATGTCATTTACCTTTCAGCGTGGCTTTGTGACAGGTGGGGCAGATAAGTCTGTCAAGTTTTGGGACTTTGAGTTGGTGAAAGATGAAAACAGTAGCCAAAAGAGGTGAGTGGACATTTTTTGTTGTTGTTGTTTGTTTGTTTTTTTTGGTCAGTCATGGGGCTTGAACTCTGGACCTGAGTGCTGTCCCTCAGCTCTTCAGCTCAAGGTGAGCACTCTACCACTTAAGCCATAGCACCACTTCTGGTTTTCTGATGGTTTATTGGAGTTAAGAGTTTCATGGCTTTTCCCGCTTTGATCCTCGGTCCCAGATCTCAGCCTCCTGAGTAGCTAGGATGACAGGTGTGAGCCACCAGTGCCTGGCTTGAGCGGACATTTTTTGTACCCTTTTTTTTTAGAGTGAAAATGGGAGCCATTGAAGAGCCTTTTGGCTTGACTTACCTCTGTCGTGTGTGGGGTTTGAGATTGTCTGCATGGGTAGAGTACTCATATATTAATTTTTTTTTTTATGCTTTGGCTGGTACTAGACTTTCAGTGAAACAGACTCGAACCTTACAGCTAGACGAAGATGTTCTGTGTGTCAGTTATTCTCCTAATCAGAAGCTGCTGGCTGTGTCTTTGTTGGACTGTACTGTGAAGATATTCTATGTTGACACGTTAAAGGTACACTTGTTGTTCCTGTGGTGTTTTCTTTCTTTCTGAGTGATGTTATTACAACTTGTGTTGAGATTATAAAGCGGTGGCCTTGGCCATACCCAGTTTACACTATAGTATATTTTCTAAAAATTTGTTTCTGAATGAAAACATGGTTGTGCTAATTCAGTGGATCATCAGTTTGTTTTAAGATTTTGTAGACTGAAAACTTGTCATTGCCAGTAGTTTTAAAACACTGCTAGTGGCCTAGGCAATTTTGTCACACCTGGTGGTTTTGATTAAAATTAGAGAACCCCAAAACATGTTATTGTGCCCTATGCCCAGAGTTTCAATAAGACTGGATTTGGCCTGGCAGTATTTCTGTGAAACAAGTGTCCCAGAGTCCTTTCAGTGAAGGAAACTGGAGAGAATATCTGTGGTGTGTTCTGACTGAGACCTGGGCTTGTGGCAAGTGTCTGTGGGGTCTTCAGTTCCATAGTAGTACTCTTGGTAAGCTGTCTTTGGTTTGTCTTGAAATTATAAAGTAACCCAGAAATGTTCATTACATTTTAGGTTTATAACTTTTAACCCACATGTAATAAAATTATTACATGTATTATCTTTTTTAATGTTCAGTTTTTCCTCTCACTGTATGGACACAAACTGCCAGTCATCTGTATGGACATCTCTTATGTGAGTAATGCGTTGAGTCTCGGAAAAAAGTTGTCTTTTCTAAAGCAGGGACTTTCCTCGGTTCTTGGCTTGATGTTGATACCTCAGTTTGAGAGCATTTTTATCATGTGATTGTCATTCTCTAAAACAATCACAAAGTAGTATCTGTTACATTTTAAGTATATCTATTTCATGTTTTCTCAGTAATTTCCTGAGTTTGTCACTCCTAGCTCTTTGATTTAGCTTCTCCAAGTAGTGGTTGTCTATAAACTTTTGTACTTGATAGAATGCCCTAGAATAAGCAGCTCTGAAAAGGGAACGCCTGCTGTTTGCTCTTGGGTTAACATTGGGTATACTCTGTGTGAGGGAAGGATGGCCACAGCTATCCGACCAGTATGCTCACAGCCATTTGAGCGCTGATGTAGGGAAAATGAGAGAAAATCACCATAGGGAGCCAAGGATACAAGGCTAGATCATAAACATTTCCCAACCTCATTGTGTCTTGATATTCTTATTTAATAAGTGGACCACCCTTGAAAAATACGGAACACAGAGCTTCTGCTTTCACTTACTGTGCTGTGTGTGCACGTGTGCGCACGTTGCTACTGGTGCTTGAGCTCAGGACTTTACTCTCACTTGGATGTTTTACTCAAGGCTGGCACTCTATCCCGTGAACCTTGCCTTGCCACCACTTAGGATTTGAAAGCTTTTTTAAGCAAGCTCTGTAGGTAAAAGCAAGAAAGCAGGTGCTCCTAATAGAGGGAGGAAATTGTTTTGGCTTTATTTGAATGCCTTTGGGGAAACTTTTTAAATGACTCAACAGGATTTTGGAATTAATGTTCTTTTGCTTCTTTTTTTCATAGGATGGGGCATTAATAGCTACTGGCTCTGCTGATAGGAATGTGAAAATCTGGGGTTTGGACTTTGGGGACTGCCACAAGTCCCTCTTTGCCCATGATGACAGGTAGGTATGATCTTCTTGAAGGCCTTTCTCTGAGTGATATGTGAATACTAGCTCCCTAGAAGGATATAGATATAGACATTAATAAACGATGAGTTCAAAGTTCCAAAAATAGACACTCTGGAACTAGCAAGACAAAACTATTAACATGTGTAAGACTCTTCTTATCTATTCTGGCATTTGATAACACATAGCTTACTCTTCTTTTCAGTGTCATGTACCTGCGGTTTGTACCAAAGTCTCACCTCTTTTTCACTGCTGGGAAAGACCATAAGATTAAGCAGTGGGATGCAGACAAATTTGAACACATACAAACGCTAGAGGTAACCTCTTGCCCTATTTGCTGCCCAGGTCTTCAGAACTACTTTTAAGAATGTTTTCATAACCAGGCACCCAAGGCTCACTCCTGTAATCTTAGCTACTTAAGAGACTGACAGCTGAGGATTAAGGTTTGAAGCCCAGCCACACAGAGAGTCCGTGAGACTCTTTATTTCCAATTCACCACCAAAAATCAGGAAGTGGAGCTGTAACTCGTGTGATAGAGTATCAGCCTTGAGTTAAAAAAGCTAAGAGTACCTTGGCCCTGAGTTCAAGCACCAGGAAAAAAATATGTTTTCATTGATTGTCCACTAATCCAAGCAGGAAGTGAGCTATGGAGAAGTTCCTCTTACTCGGGTTATGTTTGTGTTTCCTTTGTCCAGGGGCACCACCAGGAAGTCTGGTGCCTGGCCGTGAGTCCCAGTGGAGACTACATTGTCTCATCGTCTCATGACAAGTCTCTGAGACTTTGGGAGAGAACAAGGGAACCTCTGATTCTAGAGGAGGAAAGAGAAATGGTAATGACTTAAGTTTGGATTTAAATCTTCTGGGGAGGGAGAGGAAGAGGAAGGGAGGGTCATTGAAAGTCTGCCTCAGCTAAAATTTTCTGTCTAGAACTATCCAACATCATTCCATTTCAGAAGCCAAACAGGAAAAGATGCTTTGGGGATTGTGTTCCTAAAGAAGTGCCTTCACACGGGGTGCTGGCGGCTCACGCCTGTAATCCTAGCTACTTAGTAGACTGAGATCTGAGGATCACAGTTCAAAACCAGCCCAAGCAGACAAATCCATGAGACTCTTACCTCCATTTAACCAATAAGAAACTGGAAGTTGAGCTATAGCTCAACTGGTAGAAGGCCAACTTCAACAAAAAAGTTAAGAGACAGCACCCAGGCCATGAGTTCAAGGCCTAGCTCTGGCATAATAAAGAGTAGGGGAAGGGAATAAGGGGAGAGAGGGAGGGTGAGTTTCCTACTACCTCATTGTACTTTTATAGAAACACTTATTACTTTCTCTCAAACTAACTCTGTCTTTCATGGCAGCAAAGGGAAGCAGAATATGAGGAGGGTGTGGCCAAAGAAGACCAACCAGCAGTAAGTAAATATTTGATGGGTGAGGATTTTTACAGTAATCAGACCTGGCGTTAGGTGCCATGCTGTGCACCTCTTTGCCAGCTGAGAGGTGGAGGAATCTTTGTGGTGTTTTCTTCTGTAGTGTATATATAATGTATGTAGTGGACAAAGTGTGGAGCAAATGTGGCTGGGATCTTAAGGGCCTCAGGTTGGAGTCTACCCAACAAGCAACCAGCACTTCGCCCTCTGACCCCCTCCCAAAAAAAAAGAAGAAAAAAGAAATGTCGGGGGCTGGGAAAGTGGCTCAGCGGTAGAGCACTTGCCTTGCATGCATGAGGCCCTGGGTTCGATTCCCCAGCACCACATAAGCAAAAAGAAAAAAGCCGGAAGTGGCACTGTGGCTCAAGTGGTAGAGCACTAGCCTTGAGCTGAAGAGCTGAGGGACAGCACCCAGGCCCAGAGTTCAGGCCCATGACCGGACCCCCCCCAAAAAAAACAAAAAACATAGTTTTTTCATCACTCAGTTAATGGTAACTGAGAGCTATTACTATTTTCATAAAACAATGCCTGTTCTTCCATGTATATATAATGTATGTAGTGGACAAAGTATGGAGCAAATCTGGCTGGGATCTTAAGGGCCTCAGGTTGGAGTCTACCCAACAAGCAATTTAGACCCAGCACTTCCCCCTCTGACCCCCTCCCAAAAAAAAAGAAGAAAAAAGAAATGTCGGGGGCTGGGAAAGTGGCTCAGCGGTAGAGCACTTGCCTTGTATGCATGAGGCCCTGGGTTCGATTCCCTAGCACCACATAAGCAAAAAGAAAAAAGCCGGAAGTGGCACTGTGGCTCAAGTGGTAGAGCACTAACCTTGAGCTGAAGAGCTGAGGGACAGCGCCCAGGCCCAGAGTTCAGGCCCCACGACTGGACCCAAAGAAAAAAAGAAATGTCAGAAAAGATGTGAAAAGTTGGGTTCTTTTGTGATCATACATAGTTTTGTCATCACGGGCTGGGAAGGTGGCTCAGTGGTAGAGCGCTTGTCTTGCATGCATGAGGCCCTGGGTTCGATTCCCCAGCACCACATAAGCAAAAAGGAAAAAAGCTGGAAGTGGCGCTGTGGCTCAAGTGTTAGAGCGCTAGCCTTGAGCTGAAGAGCTGAGGGACAGCGCCCAGGCCCAGAGTTCAGGCCCATGACTGGACCCCCCCAAAAAAACAAAAAACAGTTTTTTCATTACTCAGTTAATGGTAACTGAGAGCTATTACCATTTTCATAAAACAATGCCTGTTCTTCCAGATATATGATTTATTGATTGTCCCTTTAACTCTTGTTCGTGGTACTGTTTACAAATCTTATTTCTTGTAGGTTCCAGGTGAGACTGAAGGTGGCAGTTACTTTACCGGAAAGAAAACTATTGAGACAGTGAAAGCGGTAAGTTGGTATAAAATGTGATGTCTCATTCCTAATTAGGATTCTGACTTTTTGTTAAAAGTCGGTGTTTCCAGTGCAGAGTTCCTTTGTGTCAAAAAGTTGGTGAGATTTAAGGTGCAGATCACAGCCTCCGTTCGGAGAGGCCCTGCATCTGGTCAGTATGGGTTTGGCAAGGCAGCACCTCATAGGTGTTCTTGGGAATTGCCCTACTGGAGTTCCAGTGACTCTGTTCTGACTATAGTGGCCCAGGACACCTCCTCCCAGCCCTACAAAGTTAAAATGAAAAACATCTTTAACTGCTCCTTGGCACTCTTCTGGCACATATTTATTAAACTGATTGGGGCTATATTCATTCACATCAGGACTTGAGGTTGCTGTGTCCTGGGAGGACAGTTCGTGTTGTACGATTGCGTTCCTTTTCTCATCATCTCCGTAGGCTGAGAGGATCATGGAAGCCATCGAGCTGTACCGAGAAGAAACTGCAAAAATGAAAGAACACAGAGCCATTTGTAAAGCTGCAGGGAAAGAGGTGTGCTGTCTGTTCATTTGTGTACTGGGCATCTCAATAAATATGATTCCCGAGACAGTGGTCAGTTAAGAATTTTTATCAACCCAGAGCAGAAATGAAATAAATGCAGTCCAGTTCAGTGACAGTTCTCACCTTAGAAGATACGGAAGCTTAATATAAAGGGAAGGTTAGGAAGTCATGAATTGGGGTGATTTGTATAGAAATTTATATAGAAATGAATTGGGGTGATTTGAGTAGAAACGTAAGTTTCTATTCATGCATAATTACTATATAACCAGGATACCTGATAATTCTTTTACCCTTAGTTTTTAGGGTCTTTCTCTAAAATTGTAAAATATTTTGTTACTCTAATGAGCACCATGAGAATCTCATGCTTCTAATGATTGTTAAAATAATCTCTTCACAGGTTCCTCTTCCTGTCAACCCCATCCTGAGGGCATATGGCAACATCTCAGTGAGTTGAATGTGTTTTTCCTTGGTGCTCAAGGTTACCTTTGGAGACAAGAACAGGAAGTGGAGAGGCATTACTGGGGGTTCAACATGCTGGGACATCTTGTGTCTTTGAAACTTCCTTGAATGCAGGAAATGGTCTGTACTATTTTTAGTGCCTGTACTGGGGCTTGAACTCAGGGCCCGGTGGGTGCTGTACCGGAGCTTTTTTTGCTCAAAACTAGTACTCTATCACTTGAGCCACAGCTCCATTTCCAGCTTTTTTGCTGGTTAATTGGAGAAGCCTGGGTTGGTTTGGAACCATGATCCTCAGCTCTCAGCCTCCTGAGTAGCTAGGATTATTGGCACGAGCCACTGGTGCCCAGCTTGGTATTTTGGGTTTTTGAAGGACCGTTTCAGTGGAACTTCCTTTTTGGTTAGATTGTATGCACATTTTTCTGTCTTTTTTTTTCCTGGTGTTTATTTATGTTCTGTATTCAAAGATCTTTAGAGTCTGCTCATTTCAATGAACTCAGAAGTCTTTTGAGGAGAAGTCAACACAAATCAGAGAGAAAGTTGGGGACAAGGAGTAACAGTAGAATCTGCTTAGCTAGCAAGCACCAATTAGTAGTAACTTGTATCTCCCATTCAGTACTCTTGTCAGAATATCTCCATTTTATAAAGAAGGGAACTTCTTTACAAGGTAACGAGGCTGGGAGGAAGCATGGCTTACAAACACAAATTCAGTCAACTATGAGCCATGCAGGCCTTGCTCTCAAGGGAGAGAGAGGGTCCTTATTTTGGGAAGAGACAGAAATTAAGCATGTTTAGTAGAAACCAATCAAGAATGTTTCTGATGGTGTTAACTTTCTCTTGTAGCCTTCAGCTTATGTACTGGAGATTTTTAAAGGAATCAAGTCAAGGTGAGTTCTAGTTAGAATTTTCCATGTACTAACATTTATTGAGCACTGAGAGTTTCTTTTGATTAATGAAATCAGAATTGTGCATTTCTTGATAGGTTTCCTGTTTCGATTTTGGTGGTGCTGGCATTTGAACTGAGGACCTCATGTTTGCTTGAGCCATGCCCCTAGCCCTGAAATAGTGTGACAGTTTACCTTTTGGTTTTTTCTCCATGAAAGCTACTGAAGCTTATTTTCCTGATGAATCATAATATATACTTACCATGCCAGGGCATCACTAGAGCAATGTAAAGGAAAGTGATCAGTGATACACTACTTGTACATTTTTAAGATTTCATTTTCTTTTTTTTTTGTCAGTCATAGGGCTTGAACTTTGGGCCTGGGTGCTGTTGCTCAGATCTTCAGCTCAAAGCTAATGCTCTATCACTTGAGCCACAGCACCACTTCCAGTTTTCTGGTGGTTTTTATTGAAGATAAGAGTCATACAGACTTTCTTGTCCGGGCTGGCTTTGTACGGCAATCCTCAGATCTCATCCTCCTCAGATCTCAGCCTCCTGAGTGGCTAGGATTACAGTCATTACCCATTGGCGCCTGGCTTTCATTTTCTTTAATAAATTGACTTCTGACCCCAGTTACAATCCCCTCGAGATTTCGAATTGGTCAACTGATGGTAGGACTGTGACAGGGGGAGCTGGTCTCTGAGATGAGAGTTCTGTAAGGTACACAGTGAGATAGCATAGGTACAATTAGTGTCAGATTCAGTCACCATTGCTGGCTTGAAAGCCCAGAAACCAACATACATGGTAAAAGAAGTATTGAATAAACATCAGATAGTCAACAAAAGGCTCTGGGAACATTATTTATCTGAGGAATTTTCCCAACATGTCTGGAACAAAATATTCTAAGCCTCAAAATAGTAAATAGAAAAAAAAGAAAAAGTTTGAAAGAATCATTTGCAGAATGGACAAGTATATTTAAACTCTAAAATGAGGGAAGTCTTCAAATATAGAAGCAGAGAAAGGGAAGTGAAGGAAAAAATTCCCTAGCTGTGAATGTTAAGGAATGTCACAGTTACACTTGTTTTTCCTTCTCCAGTGAACTGGAAGAGTCTCTGCTTGTGCTGCCTTTCTCTTACGTCCCTGACATCCTGAAGCTCCTCAATGAATTCATCCAGCTCGGCTCAGACATCGAACTTCTTTGTCGCTGTCTCTTCTTTCTCCTCAGGTAGATCTCTTGGCAAAGAAAGTATGTTTGTCTGCTCTACTTCGGTGACCCACTTTAAAAGTCTGGTTTCAGCTTCCGAGACAGGAAATTTTGGTGTTATCTGAAATGAAATACTGCCTTTTGAACTGTGCTTGCCTTTAGTGAGAGGAGTGATGGCTACCTTCTGTAAGTCTCATGTGGCTTTGCCCGCACTTTGCCCGCGCTGGGCCTCCGGAGCCCTGGCTCTGTGCTGCCCAGCGCACCACATGCCGAGGCCTGAGCAACCAGTGTGCTTCGCTTGCCGTTCCTTCTGAACTATGTTGTTTAGAACCTGCTGAAGAACAGTTTATTTCTCTAGGTATGGAGATGTAGGCACATCTAGAACAAGTGTTTATTCAACTCTGTTAAATACAAAGGATTTGTGGTGTGAGTGACCGTCATGATCTCTAGTGCTGCAGCATGTGTGCTTCTGACTGGGCAGGAGTGAGTGCCTGCTGTGCCTGCGGTGGTAAGAGGAGCTCTGCCTGAGCGGAAGCACACATGGTCATCAAGGGTCTCCTGGGAATCCAGGTCAGAGCTTGACTCTCCTATTAGGGTCTCAGGAGGAAAATGTTAGCCTTCCTCTCTCCCTCCTGTCTTTTATTGATTGTGGGGCTTGAACTCTGGGCCTGGGCACTGTCCTTCAGCTCTTCAGATCAAGGCAGGTACTCTACCACTTGAGCCACAGCACCACTTCCAGTTTTCTGGGGGTTCATTGGAGATTAGAGTCTCACGGACTTTCCTGGCTGGGCTGGCTTTGAACTGCGATCCTCAGATCTCAGCCTCCTGAGTAGCTAGGATGACAGGCGTGAGCCACCAGAGCCTGGCATGTTAGCATTTCTGAAGAGGCTCTGTTTTGTCTCTCAGCTTTCTGTATGTTGTCACCTCTGGTCATGTGGTGGGATGCTAGCAGATGAAATAGCTTGGAGATGAATTGCATGGGTAATAAGGTTTAGAATGGTATTTAAAGAATTGTTGTCAAATTAAATTAGGTGGATTTTTTTTTTCTAGAAGCATTCCTGTGCTGCTGTGGTATGATGAAAGGAGTCTGTATTGTGTTGGTGGTGCTTTGATTGTCTACTTGCCCTGTTTCTAGGAGGGACAGATAGGACCCACCCTCTCTCTGCAACATATGACCCTCTTGTTTTCCTGTTAGGATTCACTTTGGACAGATTACTAGCAACCAAATGCTTGTGCCTGTGATAGAGAAACTGAAGGAAACAACTATTTCAAAAGTGAGACAAGTTCAGGTAAGTGTCTTTGTATAGAGTAAACAAGGCAGAGTCCTGTGTGTGTGTGTGTGACTTAGAGGTAGCATAGTATGCTATGCCTGGTCTTTGATATGCTCATCACATATGGCTGTATTTGAGAGAAAGTTTTCTTTATGGGAGCTTATAGGAATAGGTTTTTAAAAAACAAAAGAAGGTAAGCCAAGTACCAGTGGCTTAGACCTATAGTCCTAGCTACTCAGCAGACAGACATGAGGATCACTGTTTGCAGCCAACCCAAGCAGACAAAAATCCTTCAATCTTACCTCTAATTAGCCAGCAAAAAGCCAGATGTGGAAGTGTGGCTGTAGTGGTGTAGTGCCAAGTTTTGAGCAGAAAAGCCAAGTGAGAGCACAAGGCCCTGAGTTCAGTCCTCAGTGACTGGAACTTCCCACCCCACAACCCCCACCCCACATACACACATGTAAAGAAGAAAAGCCCTTAGCACAATTAACAACAAAAGAAGCCATTCATTTCCGACTCTTGATACAGCCAGGTTCCTCTAAAGGGCAGAAAGTTTATAATCTCTCATATTCTTTTCCAGGATGTAATTGGCTTCAATATGGCTGGTCTTGATTATCTCAGGAGGGAGTGTGAGGCAAAGAGTGAAGTTATGTTCTTTGCCGAAGCTACAAGCCAGTTGGAAGAGAAGAAGAGGAAGAGGAAAAACAGGAGGAAGATGATTTTAACATTGACTTAGAACTGAAAGTGTACCATTTTCTACTTTCCATGTAAAGAAACTCTAAGCCGACCTGCAAGGACTGGCCGTCATCTTAACAGCAGCAAATAACAGAAGTCCGTGTTACAGAAGGGCTCTCCATGCAGCTCCTGGGCGGCTGTGGTCCGGCTCCATTTCTTGGGCTTAGGAGCATGATTAGATTAAAAACAAAACAAAAAAAAACCCTTCCTGTGCTCTTGAGGGTGATCCCAGCAGAAGTTTTTCTTTTTACATGCTAGCAGGGAGCAAAGAATCTTTTTTAAATTAGGTAGTTAGATTACTAGAGTTCAGAGTAACATTTCAAAAGTTTATTTATTTTTGTGGCACATGAGGTATACTTTGTTATTTTCCATTGCTTTACTTCAGAGGCAATCAGGTACTTGACTTTACTGTACATGTAGTGTCATGGATTTTTGAGGATAAAAGAAGAGGAAAATCTATCTAGAGCAACTTATACAAACCTGTTGTGTTTCCTCATTGCTGTTTATACTTTCCCAAATAAAATAGTTGTTTACAGAGAATAGTGAGGCAAAGTTCTCTCAGTAATACAGTGGTGTCTAGGTGACTGGTATACTTTGTGTGGCATCTGTCTACATGATAGGAATTTTGAAAGGTAGGAATGTTCTAGAAAAAGGTTGGGAGAAACACCTCTGAACAATGGACTTTCGAGGCAGGAGATTTTTAAATTTCTAATTTGGACTATTTGTTACAGGTCTGTTCATAGTTTCTGCATCTTTCAGATGGTTCTCTTATCTTTCTATGAATCTACTTCATCCAAGTTTCTGAGTTAGGTTGCCAGCATTTCCTCTGGCTCAGAGATGCTAGTTTTGTATGTGGCTTGGATGGAGGCTTGTGTCCCAAATCCCAGACCTGTAAGTCATGACACAATTACTGGAGTGAGGTAGGGGGTGTGGTGGTGGTACCGTTGGGCATTGTAACGATAAAGAATGAGTTTTGGCGGTTCCCAAGATAGCTCTGGAAAGGCGAGGGTGGACAGACAGCGGATAGCCTGATGGTCTCCGGTGATGTCCGGGGAATCAGTCTTCAGTTTTGGCACGAATCCCTGCCATCATGAATTACTTAAATATCTTGAAATTCATGATGCAAAGAGAGATTAAATCCATATCCTGTTTGTACTTGTTGGATTTATGCCTCAGAGCATTAGATGAATAATTCCCCATTAATATTTTCTAGTTCTTTTGTGGTGGAATTGGGGCTCCCTGCCCCCGCCCTCCCTCAGCCTTTGCAGTTGAGGCTAGGAGTGTAGCACGTCAGCCTGTAGGAGGCCAGAGAAACCAGCCCTGTCTGACAACTTGCAGCTTTAGCCTCATCCTGCTTTAAGGTACCTGGCTTGTGGTACGTCATTAGGACAGCAGGGAAAAACATAGGACACATTGCTGTTGTCTCTCACGGACACAAGGTAGGTTCTCCAGGGACTCTGATTCTCTGACAGCACTATTGTAAGGAGGAGAAAACAGACAGATAACAGAGCAAGGAGAGAGAATTCAGCTAAGTCCCATCTGGCCACATCCTAAAGAGATTTGGTGAGATTGTCTAATTTCACTCTTCATTGGGGGAAAATAGTTTTGATGAAGGATGTTATTAAGATCAGGATGGTGGGCTCATTATTTGTTTCAGAGAATTACGCTTTCCCCAGTTTGAATTTATTTATTTTTTTGTCGGTCATGGGGTTTGAACTCTGGGCCTGAGTGCTGTCCCTCAGCTCTTCAGCTTAAGGTTAATGCTCTACCATTTGAGCCATAGCACCATTTCCAGTTTTCCGAGTGGTTTATTGAAGGTATGAGTCACATGGACTTTCCTGCCCTGGCTGGCTTTAAACCATGATCCTCAGATCTCAGCCTCCTGAGTCTGATTGCAGGCATGAGCCACCAGGGCGTGGCTATTTTATTTTATTTTTTTTGTTAGTTGCAGGGCTTGAACTCTGGACCTCCCACATCTCTTCAGCTCAAGTTGAACACTCTACCACTTGAGCCACTACTCCAAGCCCTCATGGATGCAAGACAAACACTCTACCACTGAGCCACCTTCCCAGCCCCTCAGTTTGAATTCTAATTGAGTAAATAGCAATAGATTTCACCTACAAAAACCTCACTGGAATCCTCAATAGTTTTTAATAATAAAAAAGGAGTCTTAGGTCCAAAAAGTTTGGAAATCACTGGCTTAACTGCATCTCCAAGTCCAGATACCTCGGAGTTCACATATGTGCTGCTGCTATGTGGAGAGTAAGGTTACCTTTGATCAGCACAACTAAGACAGCATGTGATAAAGAATAAACATGCTGAGCCGTGACCCTTAGATCTGAGGCCAGCCCAGCAGACCAATCAGACTCATCTCCAATGAAGCAGCCAAAAGTGGGAAATGGATCTGTGGCTCAGGTTGTAGAGTACAGGCTTTGCACACAAAAATAAGTGAGAGCAAGGTCCTGAGTTCAAACTCCAGTACCAGCACATACATGTATGTACACATTAAAAATAAACTTAAGAATCACAAAATGTGGGTTTACTTCTTGCATTTAGTTTCTGGCATGTTTCTTCTAAAGTAGGAAATGGAAAATTTGATAAAATCTGTCTTAAGTAGAAGATTAGTTTTGCTATGAATTAGTTTTGCTATAAATAAATGTGTTTCTAGAAATATGCAATGCAATAGTACACAATATATAACATGAAGATTGATTTTACTATGTAAGATATATATATTTAACATTACATAGAATTATATATACCTAGTTATAAATTATATACAGTTAACATGTTATAATGAACATATATAGAGAAAGAGCAACTTGCTGTTACTGAAAGCCAATATTTTCTTTTATTCAGAGTGAGTCATTTTAGAATTGAGTGGTTGACGATTACCATCTATGACTTACTGGGTCTAATGTTGAGAAACCTTCCGAGACATGAACACTCCAAGTGCAGAAGAAGAAATCGTGGAAGTCTTTTGGACCATGGGATTTTTTTTTCCCCGGGGAAAATCTTTTTGGCGATTATCATAGTTACTGCTGGTTAAAACTGGTGAGATCCTCATTAAGGACTATGATTTTCCTGACTAAATGACTTGTAGATACAAAATCCAGGTAACATTTTTTTGTTTAGTTTTTTGCCGGTTGTGGGGCTTGAACTCTGGGCTTGGGTGCTGTCTCAGCTTGAAGAGCTCAAGACTAGCTCAGCTCAAGACTAGCGCTCTACCATTTGAGCCACAGTGCCATTTCTGGTTTTCTAGTGGTTTATTGGAGGTAAGAGTCTTACGGACTTTCCTGTCTGGGCTGGCTTTGAACCCTGATCCTCAGATCTCAGCCTTTCGAGTAGCTAGGATTACAGGCATGAACCATTGGCTCCCAGCCCAGGTAGCATTTTAAACTCAAGAGTTTTCATGGTTAGCAACCTTGCTGGGTAACTTTGTGTGTCCAACAGGATGCCGCCTGCATGGTATCTGGGGGTCTGAGGATGTACAAACATGTCTTGGGATGCCTTTTGTGGGTTTCTCTTCTTTGTACCTCTGTCCTTTCTGCAGCAAGCCACCACCATGCCAGGTGGTCTTTACCTACCTGACAGTGTCTTATCAGCAAGGGAAGAGTAAGATGATCATAAGTGTATCTTTTAGCATAAATTCAAGAGGATTCTCTGGCCAAGACAAGTAATTCAGTGGTGGGTGGATCAGAATGTTTCCTAGGTGGCGGGGCTTGGCTTCATCCCCAGAGGGAAATAGTTCTCAGGCTAGTTCCTGTGTTTCTGTGGAATGTGTCATGCTGGGTGCTGGTGGCTCATACTTATAATCTTAGGAGGCTGGATCTTAAGGTGGAGGTTCCTGACCAGCCTGGGCACAAATGTCTTAGGAGATTTATCTGCAATAAACAAGCAAAAAGTTGGAATTGGAGCTATGGCTCGAGTGGTAGAGTGCTAGCCTTCAGTGTGAAAAGTCATGCAAGATTGTAAGGCCCAGGGGCTGGCAAGGTGGCTCAGTGGTTGAGTGCTTGCCTTGCATGCATGAGGCCCTGGGTTCAATTCCTCAGTACCATATAAGCTGAAAAGGCTGGAAGTAGCCCTGTGGCTCAAGTGGTAGAGCGCTCGCCTTGAGCTGAATTGCTGAGAGACAGTGCCCAGGCCCAGAGTTCAAGCCCAACAACTAACAGGCCATCGGTTCAAACCCCAGTACAAGCAAAAAATAAAAACAACATTACTTTAAAAAAGATACATAAAGGTCACACTATTTTATACTATTCCCTTCTTAATACCGGCAACCCCTCCATCTCTACATTGTTCTTACCCTCGTTATATTTCACTTTGTGTGCTGTCTCCTCTCACTTGAGTATAAGCTGTGTAAAGGTAGAGCTTTGTCTTTTGTTAATTGCTTTATCCCTACTTCCTAAAACAAAGGGTACTGGTTATACTTTATGCCCATCCTGGGATTTGAATTCAGAGCCTCAGTCTCATTTGACTTTTTTACTCAAGACTGGTGCCCCCCCCACATGAGCCACAGCCCCACAACCTGCTTTACTTTGCTGGTTAATTAAAGAAAAATCTCTTCAAACCTGACTGGCTTGGAGCGGGTATCCTAAGATCTCAGCCTCCTGAGTAACTAGGATTGTAGGAAGAACCACTGTTGCCTGTGGAGATGAGAGTTTTCAGACTGAGGTATTCCGATTGCCTGATCTCCCCGTTGCTAGCCTACAGTACAGCATTGATAACTGCCTGACATTTAGTTGCTATTAATGTGCTAGGAGCCAGGTATCTTTTAGATACAGCTAGATGCTTTTAAATACTGAGTAAAGACATGGACTTTGTCCTGTGCAATTTAAGACTCAGATTTTGGAGGCAGACACATTTGGCTTTCTGTTCTCTCGCTCACAGATCATGTCTGTCCCGCTTCTGATTGCTTGGACTGAACTTGAAAGGATATTTGCTTCCACAGGCAGGAGCAGGACATGGTGCTCCGTCATAATTTCAATATTGTGAGAGATGTGGGCAGTTCCTTTGGCTCCTTCCTCCCCTATGGCCGTGGCGAAGAGCTCCACCTTCAGCTCTGCCTGCAAACCAGCCGCCACCTGTGAGACACAAGGCAGAGTTACAGCCAGAGCTAGGTGAGTTCAAATCCTGGGTTTTCACAGTAATTTGGTAAGTCACTTCAGCTTCCTTGTACCTAAGCTTGGCATTAAGAAATGGGAAACATTGTGGCAGGTTCGGTACAATCCCGTGGAGTAAGTGGAAATCCACTAGAAACTTTGGAAGGATGTTGTGCTCTGGTCTGCAAGTCATCCCAAAGGCCGCGCCCCTGTGTGTGCAGTCAGGACAGGGTGTGGGCGCTGGGAGGAGGGCCCTGCTGAGAGGAAGGATCGTCATTTAGGAGTGTGTCTGGCCTTCTCTGTCTGCTGGCCGTGTGGGGAGGCTGGCTGTGTTGTGTGCTCCCGCCCTGGTGGTCTGCCTCCTGGTCCCACGGGCAGAAGCAGGAAGTCACATGTTCAGGCACTAAAACCTGAGTCTGAGCCAAAAACAGACCTTCCTTTTCTTTCAGTTGTCACCTCAGTACTTTGTCCCAGTGATGGGAAGCTGCCAAGGGCACAGGGGTGAACCAGGTGCTATTTGGGAAAGGCGGAGGGAAGCTAAGTGCCAGGGTGTAGAGGTGGCATGGAAGACAGGCGTTGGGAACACCCAGAGTGGTTGAGTGGTTGCTACTTCTTGATGGTCAGTAGTAACTTTCTCCTGGCAACCTTACAGATGAAGACCTACAACTACTTAAAGATAATACAATTGCAAAAATTAGTAAGATACTGTCAGCAGTAAGTTAGAATACATTATGTGTATGTATATATATTTATGAAGGTAAACATCATCTAAAAAAGATATAAATTTACTTTTTTTTAAATTTAATTTTATTTGTGAACATACTGTACAGAGGGGTTACAATTACATAGGCAGGATAATGCGTACATTTCTTACCAAGCATTGCAGCCTCCTCCTTTGTTTACCCTTCCCATCCCTTCCCAGCCTCCCCCCTCCCCCCTAAAT